GGGACGCTGCATTTTATGCATGCAGGGTCAGACAGACAGACGGGTAGACCTCCTCAGTAGGTGTTGCCCGAGATCAGCTTTATCGGTAAGCTCCCCTTCTTTCGGAGTTACCGGGTCTAGCAGTGTGGTGTGCATCTTGTGTTTATATGTAGATAGGTTATGGGTAGGTCGGGGCCCTGTTCCGATCATAGTACATCTATTATTAGAGGCTTGTAGATATGTCGTGTCAGTTAATACCGTATGTTGGTCTGGTAGGCCCTGTACGTATATTTTGTTAGCTTGTCAGTTGTAGTAAATGTGACGACCTTGCCGGCCCAGCCTTATGTTGATGGTGAGTTAGTGTTAGTCTCTATTCAGTTTTATATTTTACAACGCACATTTTCTTGCAGACCATGTCATAAATTATGACATTACATGTTCAAAGTCTCTGAGTCACAGGTGATACGCAAGGATAGTTGAGGCACTGAGTGCCAGTCTCGCTCCCAGGTTCGGGGCGTGACAAAAGTGGTATCAGAGCAGTTCTATCCTAGGGAGTCTACAAGTCGTGTCTAGTAGGGTCTTGTTTATAAATGTGTGGTGCACCACATTATATAAGCAAGGGACTACAATGCATCTAGGAGTTGGTTACCTTTTTTTTCAAATATAAATCGTGTTGTAGCACTGAGTTGTAGAAATTTTGAGTTAAACTTACGTATTGACATTTGCATGCACAGATGGTGATAACTAGGAAGACTACAACTAGTCAGAGGAGAGAACCAGTAGTGGGTGAGGGGACTAGCAGGGTACCCCCAACGGCTGGGGCCCAATCGGAGTCGCAGGGAGAGACCCCTACTCAGCAATTACCGGCTCCTCCGCCACCTGAGGAGATTCCTAGGGAGACCACACATCTAGTTCCCCCTCCGCTTCCCTCAGATCAGGACTTGAAGGGTGTGGTGCATTTGTTGGCATAGTTGGTAGCTACCCAGCAACAGGCTAGGGCATTTTCTAGTGCAGGACCTTCTGAGGGATCTGGGAGTTCAAGGGTCCGAGACTTTATTGCTTTGAATCCCCCAGAGTTCACGGGGACAGATCAGAGGGAGGACCCGCAGGATTTCATAGATCAGCTTCATAGGATTTTTCGGGTTATGCATACCACGGAGAAAGAGGCAGTTGAGTTAGCAGCTTTTCGATTCCGAGATATAGCCATCCTTTGGTATGAGGGATGGGAAAGGTCCAGGGGACGTAATGCCCCTCCTGCTATTTGGGAGGATTTTTCAAATGCCTTCCTCGACCAGTATTTACCACGAGAAATCCGATAGGCCCGACTCGATCAGTTTCT